TAATGGCTAGAATCAAACAAATGTACGAGTTTTAAAAAAATATTATAAAAATTGAACAAATATACTTCTGAACATTTATATTTAATCTTCTGAAGATTGCACAAGTTATGAAAACATATTATATTGAACAAGAGAAGATAGAGAAAAAATTGTAATTAAGATATTCTAATCATATATATGAGAGCAAGAAACAGCTGGTAATTTGGTGGAATGAAAATGTTCTTGCTTTGCTTCAAATCACAATCAGATAAAACTGAAAGACTCACATGGTGAGAAATATATATAAAACTAAAATAAAACGTTCCATCTAAACAATAAAGAAATATATCACACCAACGCCTGTATGTGATTTTTCGAGACTGTTTAAACGTTTCGTGATAAACTTTGAGGCTGTTATTAATGTTGACAAATAGATGCTTACTCGTCGAACAATTGGTTTAACTATTATATCTGTATAATTATCTGTTGGTTTAATTTGATGTAAATTTTCCAGTAGAATATGAATTTTTTTCTCATTATCCCATCCATTTGGTATAAATATTGAATCTCTTTCTACAACAGCAGCTGAATATTGAAATGGATAATTATAACATTTATGAACAATATATTTGTATAATTTATCAATATTTTTCTTTTCTTTAACAGATGTATAAAATAAGGCAGCTCCATCTAAATACAAATAAACAATATGATAGATAGATGGGTGCATAGGAGATAAAATCGAAAAATGTGACTTACATTGTAAACAAAACTTTCTTATATGATGTTGTATAAAGTCAAACTGTTCATCTTTATAATCATTTTCTTTTTCTAATGTTGGCATTGCATCACACTAAAACAAAACGATGCTCTGAAATTAAATAAGTTACCAAAAGTTTGTCATTTTGTCTAGAATTTAGGAGGAAATTTCCTCCAAACTATGGATTATGGCGTTTTGATTGAACAGATGCTTCGTCTGTCAAGAACATCTATGGATTTTTCAACGTACCGAGCTGCTATTATCACTATGTATAAGACAGAGTTATACATCGGAAAAATTCATCAAGGCCTTAAAAAAGTTCTTCGAGAAATATGGAACAACGTCTACCTTTAAATGTACTGCAAAACAACTGATTAAATCAATTTTAAAATGATTCTTTATATCTATCATCTTCTCTTTAAATTTTATCTATGCTTGTAATATTTTATAGTATTTTTTAATTCAATCCATGTACAAACAATGCTTTATTATTACCTTTTCATTCACTTTTATCCACGCTCGTTACATTATCTGTTTAATTAGTTCTATAAACACGTCTTAGCTGATTAAATTAACATCAAGGAATGGCTTACAGTTCAGTTATTAATATCTAATACAGCGGTAATGTATTTCCATTTACTGCAGGAGCGCCAGAACAGATAAGATCGTACTAAATTTAAAGCTCCGAAACGATCGTTCTGGTATTTAGCTGATGAGGTGCGTAATAAATGTAACTTATAATTCAAATATTTAACAAGTATGCTTGGTAGATAGAAGACATAAGCAGTGAACAGTAAATATTCTTAAAAACGAAATTTTCTCTAAAACGGTTGAGAAGAAAACTTACTTTGGTAATAACAACAATAACTGGTAAGCCAAGATTTTTTGTTAGCACTCCTTCTCCTAATGGTAAAATAAATTGATCATCGCTATTGCTATTCGTTATTTGTGTTGTTGCTGGTGATGTTGTGGGAGTTGCACTTGTCGAAGATGACGCTAATGAAGTTGATGTAGCTGATGTTGTTAAACGTTTGTTCGTTGCTTCACTTGGTTCTAAATAATGTTGAAAATCATATTGAATTTTATCTCTTAATTCACGTAATTTATTTGTATCTAATTTTAAACGATCAATATGATCTTCAATAATTGTAGTCCATTTTTTTAATACGGTCAGGATAGACCATGGTTGTGTCATACTAGCGACAAGTATGAGTAAACAATTTTCAATATTATCAGATTTAATGGCAAATTTTAATAATTGTGAACAAGACGTATCACCATCCAAAATCCATACACCTAATTTTGGGGTGTCTGAATAAGCAAAAATAAAACTTTAGAATATTTGATGTGATAATTGGCAGTTATTTTTACCGTCTGTATCATCGTCTCTAACATCAATATAATATGTTTTCATAACTTGTGCAATCTTCAGAAGATTAAATATAAATGTTCAGAAGTATATTTGTTCAATTTTTATAATATTTTTTTAAAACTCGTACATTTGTTTGATTCTAGCCATTA